ACAGGGCAGAGGGAGTGCTCCCTCCCTCCCCGCCCCCCCCCGCCCCCCCGCCCTGCAGGACCAGGCACAGCCCAGAAGCAGGGTTCTAGAGACTCTGAAGGCGGCAAGAATCCAGCTTGGCCAGGGGGCCTCCCTCAGGGCTGGCTGTTGGCCCTGATCAGGAAAGCGTTTGGGGGCCTAGCCCCAAACCCCCTTCCAATGTCTCTGTCAAGCAGGAAAAGCCAAGGGACAACAGTGGTTGTGTTTCATTAAAAACTGTGTTTCGTTAAAAACTAGTTCTGGACACAAAGAATATATCAAAAAAGAGATTCTTTGCTCTATTAAAGATCATTCACTGAGAATTTCCTGAGCGCTGTGCCATGTGCAGACCCGCGTGCCGGGGTGTGGGGCATCCAGGAGAAGTCTAAGGCACTGGCCCTGCTCCGGCACAGGGCTCCTTCTCCCTGGAAAGGCGGCCCCGACTGCTGAAAGGCCAGTGAGCATGTCCAGATCTGGGGGACAGGGGAGGCCTGGCCGCATGTGCCACTGGACAGAGTGCTCGAAGTGGCAGCCAAGAGCGTCCTGCCGAGGCCCACTGGGAGTAGAACACCCCAGCTGCAGGCCCAGGCAGAGCGCTAGAGGATGCTATGACCATTCTGCTCAGAGCTGCAAAGCTGGATACTGGACATGGGGCCAGAGGCCCAAAAAGGCCAATGTGTGGCTAGGCCTTCCCTGGGAAAGGAGGAGGGAGGGAGACCAGCGGCTTGTCAGGCTTGAGAGGCAGGGCTGGGCTTCAGGTCTCCCTCAAGTTGGAAACATGGGAAGTTTCCATGCTGCTTATTAGCACCTGGTGACCAGAGCCAGCCCAGGGTTGGGGACACCCTGCCCAACCAAGAGCTCTTCCCGGCACCCACTCAGCACCCATCCCCTGGGGACCTTCTCAGAGCCTACAGGTCCCCAGGAGCCATACATCCCAGGGACTCCACCCCCTCCCCCCAGGCTGGGCAGACCCTCCCTACTATGCAGTGGATACAGTTTCCTGGAGCCCCTCTGGTCTCCCTTCATCCTGGGGACTGAGCTGGTTAGCTCTCCCTCCACAGCCACATGGCTGAGACAATTTGGGCTCCAATTCCTATGGTGACCTCTCTCTCTGTGCCCCACAGGGTTCTCTTTTTTTGTCTGACACTCCAGACAAAACAAAAAAGGAACAAGGTAGTAGTACAGGGGTCCTGTGACCTGGGCGGCCACCCCCCCCCCCCCCCCCCCCCCCCGCCTTGGGAATACAGGTCCCACCCCAGCAGGGCATGTGCCCACCTCACCACATCGCTGCAGGGGACAGGCTCTGCCAGCCCAGGGCCAGCACAGGGGTGGGAGGGTCAGAAGAGGCTGGGGGTGGCCTGGCCAGGTGCATCATGGTCCCGGATATACTGCAAGATGTCCATCTCGTCCATGGCTTGAATCTGCTGCTGCTGCTTCCGCTGCTCCGCCACAGCCTCAGGCAGGCCCGCTTTGGGGGGCACAGCTGGCTTTCTGGGTAGCGCTGGCTTAGCTGCCACTGGTGGTCTGGGCTTAGGCTGGGGCTTGGGCTTGGGCTCGGCCCCCAGGTTCAGAATCTGGTCCAAATCTTCTTCAACTCTAGGGAACCAGAGGGGGAAGCCCTGAATAGAATCTCCCGCAAAGGGAGCAAGGCCCAAGGCACCCCTGGGGACTGTGCCCAGGCCCCGCCCCAACCTGGCCTCCCCCCACCCTGCCCCCGGGGAGGACTGAGGGGAGGCTTCTCCTTCCCTGCAGCCGCACAACACAGCCGGAGCAGAGCCAGCCCCTTGGCGGCCTCTGGGCCTCCTTTTCAGGTGGTCCCCCTCTAGACGATGGCCCTGTAGGTGGCTTGTCCTTCAACCTCTCAAGAAATAATAGCAACAGTTGCCAGATACAGAGCGCCTGCTCTGTGCCAGGCACTTTGGACATATTATCTTGTTTTATCCCCAAACCCTTTAGGGGCACGGCTGATGTCCACCCAGCAGATGTGGATGTTCAAGCCCCAGGAGGCCAAGCTACCCGCCTGAGATGACAGTGTGTGACAGTGCCTGAGTCAGAATCAAGGCGTCAGACTTCAGAAGCTGAGCCCTTATCTAGGCCAAGTTCAGCCAGAGAAAGAATAAATATGGGGCTCTGACCACTGTGGGGTGGGGCTGCCCATCCATGGTGCCCACTGAGGGCCACACAGGTGCCAGACAGCCTACTGAGGGTTAGAGCCACCATGGCCTGGGAGCTGACAGCCATCGCTGGGTGGGATTAAAGCCCACAGCAGTGTGATGGTCACACAGGACCAGCCCCAGGTACCAGATGGCAGTTAAGAAAAGCGCGCCACAACCTGGTTCTGCCCTCTTTGCCTGAGGGAGCTCCTGCTGCCAGCTCCTGGTGGAGGAACTCACTTTCTGGAGACCAGATGCATAATGCAAGACCCATTCAATCCATCCACTACCCACCCACCCATCCAATCAACATTGTGCTGAATACCTACTGCGGCCAGGCATTTCCACATTCGTTAACTCACTCAATGATCACAAGACACTGTTTGGTAGCAGGTATTAGCCCCATTTTCCAGATATGAAAGCTGAAGTACAGAGATAAAGGGCTTTGCTTGGGGCCCATGGCCAGCTTGTGAAGGAACAAGACTTGGCCTGGGGATGGGTGGGTCTCTTGGATGTGTCTGCCCTCCTGGGGCACCAATGCAATGAAGCCCTCCCAGGTTGGGGTTTCTCCAGGGTGGAGGATCCCTCCTTATGCTGAGGCCACAGGCCCCCAAGGCCCTTCAGGTGACACTTGCTGGACCTTTTGCTTCTAAGGACCTGACCCAGACCCCTCTTGCCTCCTCAGGGAGTCCTCTTTTCCCTTGGGACTCTGTGATAACCTCCACACACCTGTGTCCCCTCGGAATTCTCCCTGGGTCAGGCTCCAGGACACTTGCTGTCCACTTTTCTGTCCCTTGACAGATGACAGTCCCATCTGGGACACAGTGATTCAGAGAAGACCCAAAGCAAGAAGAACTGCAAGGTAAGTGACCGACAGGTCTCCTCCCCTCCCTGGGCCTCATTTCCCAATTGGTGAGGGGCTGGATGAGGTCATTTCAGGGACGCTCTCGCTTCCACAAGATGCTAAGGAAGAATGCCCTGACCAGTGCCTTCACACTCTCCTTTCGGCCGGGCAGAGGGAGGACAGCACACTCTCCTCCCGTTCCCAGGGGCACAGCAGCCTCTAGCCTGCCCTCTGGGGGAAGCTGTGCACTGTTCGGTCTGATCTGGAACCACAGCAGGAGACCCAGGTTTTGGGGGGGGGGGAGGGTCTGGTAACACTGTCCTGGGGGCTTTCACGGAGTTACATGGAAAATTCCCATTGAAATCCAAGGGCCGATGTTTGAATTCCTAAATGAGGGTTCCTGGCCCTTTACATGCTTCTTCAGCCACCGACCAGCAGAAATATCCAGATAGGTGCGGCCCGGCCCACACCTGGGCCAAGTGTCTCAGGATATCTCAACAGGCCTCATTCGGCCAGGCCGGGGTCAGGGAGGGAGGGCACAGGTGCAGGAGGCAGAAGGCCCAGGTTGGGGTGGGGGGCTTGCATAGGCCACTTGGCTTCTCCACGTTTCGGTGTCCTCATCTGTAGGATGGTGATGGTGGCATCACCCAGCAGGGCTGCAGAGCCACTGTGTACCCAGAATCACAGCACTGCGCCCACAGCACAGTCCCATTCTGCTCCTGCTACTCCATCAGGGGCCTCAGGTCCACTTCATCACCTCCACTTCCCTGGTCCTCAGTCTCCTCATCTGTAAATGGGATCCAGCTCAGACATCAGCAGGGCTACGAAGAGGCCTGTCTGAGCGTGGAGCGCCCGGCACAACCGTCCCCTGGAGGGGCTGCCTGCCAAGTACCAGCTGCCAAAGGAGCTCTGGGTCACCCTGCCTGCTTCCTGGGTCAGCCTCCCATGGTGGGGGACACACCCCGAAGGGAGAATTCAGAGCTTCTGTGGATGGCAGAGAAGTTGAGCAAAAGGTGTCCTCCCAGCCCAGACCCAGAGGGACCAGCCCAAGCCAGGCCTTCAAAGAGAGGCAGCTGTCCCGGGTTTGAGGTGATGCCAAGAAGTGTAACCCAAGGCAGGCAGCTCCTGACAACCTCAGCTCACACGTGCCCCGGCTCCCTGCAGGCAGCACCCTCCTGGGGCAGGTGCCGGTTCTCCCTGCATCTTCCACAGGAGGCTGGAGCCCAGGAAAAGCTCAGAGGGACTGAATTATCCATACCCTCGGAACTGATCAGAAGCTTCTCTGAGGTGGCAGTCACACTCGGACGACAGGTGGCTGCAGGGGCACCCCTTTCCTCGTGGGCTCCCGGAGTCACGGCTAGAAATAGGTTCCACTAAGGCACGGTTCAGCTTTCTTCTCTTCCAGGCCCTGCTAGTGCAAGGTCAACCACGGAGAGGCTGTGGGGAGTTCTGAAGACCCCAGTCCCACCTCTCCTCCCCAGGCCCCTGCAGAGGACAGGCCTTGGTTAAAGACCACACCTGGAAGCCTCCCACTGGTGTGGCTGCACAGCAAGAGGGAACCGGGGGCTTATCCGCATACTGCCGGGCACGCCACTCCGTGCCACTTCGTGCTAGCTGACGGCCGTGACAGAATGAACGGATGGGTGACGCCATCAGTGAATGAATGAGGTTTAAGAAGTTTGCTATCAGGAACCCCGATCACTGCCTGGATAGTCACGGAGCCAGCACAAAGCAGAAGAAAACATGGCTCCCGCTCTCAAAAAGTCAGTTCTCTGTCACCAGACGTCTGGCAGAGTGAAGGCAGGGCTGCAGGACTCACATTCTCTAAAGCAGTGGCTCCCAGAGTGCTCTGTGGGACGCCAAGAGACACCACAGAGGAAAAAGTCCCAGGGACCAACAAGAATGTGAAATGCTACATGGTATTTCCCACTCATGCCCACAGAGTCCTGCTTAACAACGGTACTGCCCAGCTGTCTGGCCACAGAACCCCTCTGAAGGGAGCACGGAGTTCTGAAGAACATGGGTCGGGAAGTGCTGGTGTCATGGATTTAGAATAGGCTGTGCCAGGAAAGTCACACTGCAATGGCCTCCCTGGGCAGGGCACACCAGTGGCAGCAGGGCCCTGCCACCCTCCCTGGGGCTGACTCTAGTGCTCTGCTTTCCTGTGCCTCAGTTTCTCCTCTGAAGATGTAACGACCCCAGCTTCTCCCAGCCTGTCGGGGTTGTCAGGGGTAAGGACACAGGATGACAGTGAACAGATGCCAGGGGCCATGGGGAGATGTACAGACAAGAGGCCTTAGCTGTGACTCAGGTTTGGTGGGCATTCACGGGGCTAACAGCCCGAGACTGCTAACGAGGGTGCAGATGACAGCCTTCCGGAACCACATGCCCCGGCTCCATGTAACCGTTCTTGGAAGGAGACAGCTCGGCTTCCTGTAAATCGCCGAGCACAGCCACATTCTGGGGGGCACAGGTGACCCAACAGAGACGCACAATACCAGGCATGCTCGGAAGTCCAGGGAGAGCTGCTGGCCCAGGGTGGGAGGCAGATCTCCCAGCCTCTCCTCCAAGTATTTAGAGAGTCCTTGGAAGGAACGGGAGGACAGAGCATGGGCGGTGTGCTGGATTCCGATCCTGGCTCTGTCCCTGGGGAGCTGTGGCCTTGGGCCAGTCACCTTTCCCACACTCTATTCTCTAAAATGGAGATAAGAGCACCTATGCCGGAGGCTGGAGGACTGACTGAGGCAGTGTGCAAAGTCCAACACACTGACGCCTGGCACACACTCTGGAAGAAGGAGCCCCCCATGGAACAGACTAAGCCTCGCTCTTTCTTTGGAGACCTGCTGATGGGACCCTGCCGGGTCCGGCCACTGTCCAGCACATCTGTGCTCCCTCCCTCTGGGAGAGCTGCGAGCTACCAAGAGTCCGTATGAGTTGTTCCCAAACCTATTTATGCCAGCTACACTTGCTCTTGCGACTACCTAATTTGATTATTCTTCACATAAACTTTTAAAGTATGAGTGTGAAAAGGAAAAGAAAAAGACTTGCATTCATGAAGTCCTTTCTGGAACTTGCTGAGCTGCCCTGGGCTGCTAACCACCCCCACCCCCTGCCCCAATCCCTGCCACTGCCCCCTGGCCGGCACCCATTCATAGGCTCCTGCCTCTGATGAGCCAAGACTGCCTCCTTGGAGGCCAAAGCTGGTGAGATGCTCCCACACTGAGATGGGTCCCTGGCTCCGTCCAGGTACTCTCAGAGCAGGAAGAGCACCGCTGGGGGCAGGTGGTACCTGAACAGCTCCGGGTGGGGCGTGGGCCCTCCACTCATATGGGCGGCAGGCAGCAGTAAGGGGTCACCCAGGGGGACAGCGCCGCCGAGATCAGGATCTTCAAACAACTTCAGGGCTGTGGGGAAGGCAGGAGCAGAGTGGTCAGAGGAAGTCCTGGCCCATCCTCAGCTGCCAGAGGGGGACAGGGTGGAGATGGCCTGGCCCAGCCAGGAGACAGTGAGCAAGGGACAAGGCAGAGCACAGAAGAACCAGAGGAATGGGCCCAGGTGGGGGCAGGAAGGAAGCAAGGGACAGGTGCTCAGAGGCTGCCCTACAATTGTCAGGGGATGTCCGGTCTCCTGTGGGAGTCCTGAGGCCAGGACTGTGTCTTTCTCATCCATGTGTTCTCAGGCTCAGCAGAGCCTGGCCCCAGAGGGTGGTCACCAAGTGCTGGCTGCATCAATGGGGAGCATCTACTCTCCACCCTGAATGAGAAGCTGGGTGTGGTGATGAGGAAAGATCAGACCTATGGACAAATACAGAAGTTCCCAGGCCACTCGGCTTTCCCCTTTCCAGTTCTGCACAGGACCCTTCCGTGGGGTCTATGCAGGCAACACAAAATCTCTCATCACAATCCAAATTGTACAGAGTCACAGCACAGCTAGGGTGGCTGTGTCTACTTTCCAGCCGGTGGCCACACCTGGCCCCGGAATGACAAAGATGCTTTTGCACCAATCACAACCCATACTTCTCAAGTGATAAAGATGACCACCCTCCTCTTCCACAGGATGAGGACAATAAACATACAGCCCTGGAATGTTCCAGGCTATGGGGACACAAAGCGCAAGGCTAGATTTCTCCAGCAGAAAATCTCCATAAGCTGAGTCTGTACCATGTTGAAACAGGACAACGAGGAGATTTCCATCATGCTCCCGTGTGGTAGGTCCAAAGCCATTGACAGAGGCTGGCTGGGTCACCAAGAGGAATGGGAACACCCAGAGGCTCTACTTACGGTCCTTGAGGGGCATGTCCTCTGCGGGGCCCTTGGGGGAGGAGAGCTTCGGAGCTGGGCCAAAGAGCCCCTCCTCAGGGTCCACCTCCTCATCAAAGATGGTGAGTCGGGGTGAGGGTTTGGGCTTCATGGCTACTTCTGGGCGTTTCTTGGGCTTCTTGGAGCTAGGGAATCAGACACAGCTCTAGGTTAGCAATTCTCATGAGAGCCCCAATGGCCAGCAGGTGGCCTGGTCAGAGGCTGGGTGAGTTTGAGCTCATGTCAAGAAGGAACTTTCCAGTGCCCTGACAGTGGAGACATGAGACCCTGCTACTGGAAGTGGCTGAGCCCTGTGCCCCAGAAACCACTGATGTCAGGATGTGTGGGAAGAGCAGGTGAATGAGTGAGCCAGCAGACTGCCAGACAACTCCCAGCCCTGAAGGGCTACCCAGGACTCAGGCCTGTATGCATGGTCACAGGTCAGAGAGGCTGCTCTCCTTCTGGAGGCTGCAGGGGTCAATGCCCATAATGCTCCCAAGGGCCAGGCTCGGAGTCACTGCACAGCCCCTTGGAAAGGGGGCTGGACACAGACCCCAGGGCCTGGACCCGGGGAACAGCACAAAGCAGCCTTGGTAAATGCTCCCTCGTTTCCTCCACACACACACAATCTGCTGGGTGTTGGAGGGCAGGGTGCTCAGAGGCGACCATCCACACGCTCTGGATGTGGACTTCTGGTAGAATCTCAGGCTCCAGCTGAGATGGGAGAAGCTATGAAAGCTGCAAACGCACCTGCTGGAGGCTCCCACACCCAGGACGGAGCACACCTACACGCTCAGTGCCAAGACCCCCTCATGGTCTTGTGCTCTCGGCCCCTCAAGGTGTCCCAGGAGCAGGAAGGAGATTCGGGATAGGGTGAGGATAAGGGGCTCGGTCCTACTGCTCTTTGGGAGAAAGTGGCACAGGTCAAGGACAAGATGGAGAGCAGAGACTCAGCAGCAGGGCTGTGCCCCACGTGCCCCAGTCCCTGCTCTCTCTCCATCCTGGGCACATCCAGACAGGCTCATGTCACAGGCCACCTGGGACTCGTCTCTGCTCTGGCGCCACCCCAGGCTCTGCTTGTGGTGCTGGGCAAGGTGAAAGGGGCCTGGCCTCTTCCCTCCTCACAGCAAATACTTCCCAGAAAACTTCAGGCGTGCCATGGCACACACCTTGAAGGGCCAATTCAGCTTTAATGACCCCTGGGAAGTGGGAACCAAAGACAGGCCATGCCCCTCGTGGCAGGCCATCCAGAGACAGCTCTAGCCGAGACCTGCTGAGTCAACCCTGGGGCCAGCCCAGGAAGCTGTGTTGGAGGTTTTGTGGAGCCTGGGGCCTGTGGGCTCTGCCCCACTGCTTCCCTCAATCACCTGACAGCCACCCCTGAGCTGGCCCTGCTCCTGGATCCTGTGCCACATCCGCACCTGACCAGGGAGGGCAGGGCTGAGGCCTTGCCACCTGCGGCACTGCCCGCAGGTCCGCCCTGCTCAGAAACTAGCAGGCCCTGAAACAGTTCCTTAGGAAAGCAAGCCCGAATCCTCCTCCAGCACACAGGCCCCCAGCGGCACAGGGGAAAGAGGCCTCCCGTGGACCAGAAACCAGAGGGAACATGGAAAGAAGGGGACTGTCTGAAGAACAAAGCAAGTGCGAGAGAACAATCGTGACTGATTACGTCTGGAGAAGCCCTGCAGATTTCAACAATTTCCCTCCTTACACCTACTTCTGGTTCTGAGAGCACAAACTAGGCCTGACTTTCCTGCTATGTTCGTTTTCCTCTCAGATTGGATGAATGTTCTTGTCTTTTCTTCCTGAAGACATTTCCGATCTTTTGTTGCCTTGAACTGAAATTAACTGAATCTGTGGCACATACAACTGTTCAGCTGAGGA